GGGGTCTGCTCTGCAGAGGCCATGAGCTGCCTCCCCCACCACCAGCTTCTCGAGTTGATCTGAATAGCAGGTGGGGGGCGCTCTGAGAAGCCTGAGCATCAGGCTGGGAAAACATGCTTCAGGGAGAGCTTTTTGTTGCTGGGATAGAATGTGATCAGAACCCTGAAGTGCTCCCCAAAAAAAGCAGATTCACATTCAGAGCATTTCCTCTTCATTGGATGCTGATAGCCGGCCAATCTTATCACCCTGAATTTACCCTAATGCTGGTAGGAGCAGAAAGCTGAAGGAAAAGGTATTTTTTTTTAAATGTATATTTTTATTGATTTCAGAGAGGTACGGAGAGGGAGAGAGAGATAGAAACATCATTGATGTGAGAGAGAATCATGGATCAGCTGCGTCCTGCACACTCCATGCTAGGGATCAAGCCCACAACATTGGCATATGCCCACAACCAGGAATTGAACCGTGACCTCCTGATTCATAGGTCAATGCTCAACCACTGAGCCAGCTGGCCAGGCAAGAAAAGGGTATTTTGTTTGAAATTGGTGTTTTGTTTGAATTGGAAAATGGTAGAAAAAGATATTTTGTTTGAATTGAGAAACAATTTGTGTTGACTTCATTAAGTAAGTTTGTGTTGACTTCATTAAGTAAGTTCAACAAAACCTTTTCCCAGCTTAAGCTCTGCAGTTAGTTAACCTATTTCAAAACAGAACAAAAAGCCAGTCATTATATTGTGTACTCACTTGGGCCCTTTAAATTAGTAGCAGGACCATAGTGAGTAGGAGTCTGGGGCCTGGATTGGATAAGTGGTGTGAAGACTACATGGGGCACTCACCTGGCCTTGGGGAAGCAGACTGATCCCCCTCTCCATGGACCACCACTCCAACCTGAACCATCTGGAAGGTTCCGGCAATTTTCCTGGCCTCTCAGTGGCTCTGGTCCTGCATCTATGGGTCCCGAGCACTCCTAGTCCTGGCCTCCCTTGGCCTGTGAGGCAGTGTCCTTGTGAGGTCTTGGGTCATGCGTGTGCTGAGGACCGTTAGCTGTTGTCATTTCTCATGGGAACCTGAAGCAGGTTTTTATGGGATGTCCTTTCCACCTTTGCTGCTGATGCTTTCAAAGAATTCAAATGTGTGCGGTGGAGGGACGAGGTGGGCTATGTTAATCAATAAATTTCATACAAGTTTAATCATTCTGTAATAGGGGAGTCAGTGACGTGCTACAAATAGCCATATTATGGGGTCCTCATGTGTAGGACCTGAAATGGATTTCAAGTGACCCCCAGGACACCTCTAGCAGATCCACGATGATCACTCCAATGCTCCCAGAGGTTAGAGTTTAGAGAGGCTGAACACCCAGGGGCTAGACTCAGGCTGCAAGAATGTGTTTGTGTTGAAGAGGCATTGAAGGTAGTAGAAGGCTTTGTTTAGATTCCCCTAGTTCTGTAACCTTGAATAAGATGAATTTGTGTATTCATCTTGAAAATAGACATGATAATATCTACTTCATACAGCTGCGAGGAGGCTCATGCCCCCATTAACACATACTAAGGGCTCGATAAATCTTCCCCTTCCCCAACATGATCTCTTCCCCAAGAGTAGACATGTCTCACTTGGGAAACCCAGAGATAGTAAACAGATCAAAGCATAGTCAGGAACAAAACTAATTTAATGTATTAACAATATTTATTAGTCTAAACAACTGTTTTCAAAGCATTTAACATAAAACTAGCCCTTCTAAATAGGTGATGTTTCCTCTGGTGTCCCTGTTATAAGTAGGAGCTTTTAGAAGATGTGGTTCCTGCACTGGAGAATGTAAAGAAACTGAGACAGACCAGATAGTTGATATCAGTACAGTACTTCCAAGCAAACCGGCTTATTGACTGGAAGGAGACAGAAGAAAAAAAATCTCACCACCTCTTGAGATGTTGGCTCCTTGACTGTCTTGCTGTTGTCTGTTAGATATTTATTTGGCAGATTGGGCAGTTAAGAGACTTCATCATTCACGTGGTACCCAGAATCCATTCACTGAGCTAGCTGACTTTGCCTCCTAACCCCGAGACGAAAACTGGCTGCACTGAGAAAATGTGCGTTCGGTGGAAGAAGAGGAGAGAAGGTGCATGGAGCCCAGGAGAGGAGAAGGAGGGAAGCGTGCAGCTGGTGTGGCTGTAGAGGGGAGTAAAGTCCGTGTTGGCAAAGATTGGACCTTGGGGGTTGGGATCAAGTGCCCCTAGTGTTTAGAAAGAATGATCTCTTCCTCCATCTACACTGACTTGACGCTTGCTTAGCCTGGAATCTGTGTCATTTGTAGAGCAGCTATTCTACCCATTTTTCCTAAATTATAACTTAAATAGATCTGGATTAGTGTGGATCCTCCTCACCTTTGGAAATGTTGTACATGAATAGAGACATTTCTAGTAATAGCCAACTTAGAGATGACCTTGTAAACCCAAATCTGGTCTTCAATAGTTACTTGAAGAATATAGAAAAGTTCTAATAGCTTGATATGTTCAAATTCCAAGTGACCAAAGCGAGTTTCCTGTGTTTACTGTGTATTTGTTTTTGTTATAATTGTTTTAATGCATTTAAATAAAGGCCAGCAAACATAATTCCAGTGAAATTACATGTGACTAGAAGTAAAGTAAAAATGCATAAATCTTTATTGATTTACTTACTTATTAGAAGAGAAAGCCTTGGTATGAATAAGCAGGAAAGATACAGATATAACCAGAGTCTTGTGCAATTCCTGTGTACACTGAAACTCGGAAGTCAATGCCTTACCTTAATCCAAGTTCAAAAAGATGAAAAGGTGGGAGGGAGGGAGGGGGGTAAAAAAAAAAATCAATAAAATATGTAAAAAAATAAAATAAAATAAAAGCATAATATGCTAAAAAAAAAAAAAGGATATTATTTTTTTAAAAAAAGTTCAGTATCTTAAAACAAAGCAAGCAAACAATCAAAGAAGTAAAACTGAATTAAAGATGTATTAAACTTGGAAGAGGGAGGGAAATGAAAGTTTATAACTCTTGAAGAAACCACTTAATAAAAAAGGTACACAGACATGTGTATGTATATATATAAAGGCAGTGACAGTGATGACTGAAATGACCGTGATTGTCTTTCCCTTAAGTGGAGAGGCAGGAAGTATGTGAGGTGCTCAAGAATGTGAGATCTGCTCGACCAGCATGGCTCAGTGTTTGAGCATTGACCTAGAAACCACGAGGTTATAGTTCTATTCCTGGTCAGGGCACATGCCCGAGTTTATGGGCTCAATCCCAGGAAGGGGGTGTGCATGAGGCAGCCAATCGATGATGTTTCTCTCTCATCAATGTTTCTATCTCTCTATCCCTCTTCCTCCCCCCCCATTCTCTCAAATCAATTAAAACACACACACACACACGTGCACACACACACGTGCACACACACACACACACACACAGAAAAATAAAAAGGATGTGAGTTCTGAGCCCCAACCACCTGGGCTTAACTCCCAGTTCTGCCACTTGACTTTGAGATTGAGTAGCTGTTGGAATTGGACAAGTTTTAAGTTCCCTGCGATTAGATTTCTCCATCGGTAAATTAGTGGTTAAGCATAACGTACCTCCTGGGTGTTAAATTTAGTGAGGCCTAAGTTTTCTAACACAAGCAAAGCACAGCCAACAATGCCGGGCATATACTAAGAGCTCAGTAAAGCATGAGCATGTGCTATGTAAGTGGTGGAACCAAGATGGGCAGACTTTTGCTGACACTTTTCTACATTTTCCAAATCAACCTTTCTCTCTTGCCCATATTACTGTTACATTAGGATAAGAAGCAATACATATTTTCCCAAGGACCCTGAACACTGAGTGAGCCAGATTTTATTTTTTAGTCACATAGATACAGTCTCTAATTGGAGTAACAGAGTATGTCATCAAAGAATAGATGCTTCATGGCTGCTGAGAGCCAAGAGTTGAAATTGGAGTTGAAGTGAAAATGGAAATGAACTTCGTGCCCCATATCATAAGAAGTTAGGATGGTGCAGCTTCCTGGAAAGACTGCCTGCATCCTTTGGAAAAGCTGTGTCTACCCAGGATTCTCTCCCAATCCCCTAATCTTACATGAATAGCTACATCTAGACACATGTTAGTAATAGCTGGGCAAAAAAATAAAAATAAACAGTTACAATAATGGAACAACTAAATTTTGGGGGCAAAGAATGTAAATTAGGACAAGGGAGAAGTAGTAAAATTTAATCACTATCTTTGTTCATTTCCAAATATTTCAAAAGGTAGTATGTGCAATTTGATTTACACATGAAGTTATTATATTTAACATATGTTTTAAAGTTTCAGGAGTGGGAGGAAAATTGAGGAGAAAATTGCTGTGTCTTTTCCTTAATTTCCTCTGAGTTTAAGGGGAAAATTGTTGGGAAAAATGTCTTTGCTCATTTAGCAGTCTTCTCTTGCCAGCAACTAACATGACTGTACAATACAGTTGCCCAGGGGATGCCAAGACCATGTAAAAAGAGTGGTGAACGGGCACAGGAATGATGCAACTGGGTTAGCAGTGTGGAGCAGAGGAAGTGTGTGATTTCTTTTGGAAAAAATAAAATTACACCACCCATTATAGGCCGTTATGCTAGCCGTTCTGAACATCCGCTGTACGTAGAGACTTCGTTATACTAAGGCTTTTGTTTCTTTATATGGCCTTGTTCGGGCATACATCATTTGTCTCCTAGTTATGCCCCATCTTTGTAACTCTGTGCTGAGCCATATCCACGTTGATTCCACTGCATTTAAGTCAGACAAAGAACTTTCCTATCAGTTCTGCTTGGAGCCCTGGATTCAGCCCTCCACTCCCAGATGGACTGAAAAGATGGGCTCACCTGATTGTTGCTTCCATAAAGTTACTCTTGTCTGATAGGCATGGTCACCAGACAATCCTTATTCCATTTTCTAGGACTGTTACTTCGGTTTCAAAAAGACTCAGTTTTCCTTCTTTTTCTCCTCTCCCTCTCAGGGACGATCCTCGGGTTCACACTCCGGCCTTACAAAATGACCTACCGCGAGGTCAAGTACTTCTCCTTCCCGGGGGAGCTCCTGATGCGGATGCTGCAGATGCTGGTGCTGCCGCTGATCATCTCCAGCCTCGTCACAGGTACGGAGGCGGTGTTAGACGGGGGCCTGCGGTTGCTTAGGAAATACACTCTTTGGGTTTCCGCTGGATGCATGCTCTGTTCTAGGAGGGGGAAAAAAGTTCCTTCAAGATGATGGAAGGGCGGCTTTAGTGATGCATGAGTGATAGCACCTTGTGTTTTACCGATCACAAGAGGAAACATTGAAACAGTCACATAGCTCTCGCCGGTTTGGCTCAGTGGATAGAGTGTCAGACTGCGGGCTGAAGGGTCCTAGGTTCGACTCTGGCCAAGGGCACATGCCCGGGTTGTGGGCTCGATCCCCAATAAGGGGCTTGCAGGAGGCAGCCAATCAATGATTCTCTCTCATCATGGATGTTTCTATCTCTCTATCCCTCTCCCTTCCTCTCTGAAATCAATAAAGAAATATATTTTTAAAAAGAAAAAGAAAAAAAAACACAGGCACATAATCTGGTCTGCCTCACCATGAAGGAGGGGCCCTGCTAAACCCTACAGCACGTCTCTGACCCTGCCGACCTGGGTGACAAAGCGCCCAGAGGCCTGTTTTCTCACCCTCTCCCACCAGAGAGAGTCTGGTTGGCCACCTGTTAGCTATTGCTGCAGGATGCTTGCTCTCAGAGTCGCCAGGACGGGAGCAGAGCCTCCTGGGAAGCCCTGGCCAGAGGTAATGCTCACCACCTACTGCCAATGCGCTGCCAGCTCGGCTTTCCCTAGTGAACCCGCAGATTCCGCTCCTTCCCCAGTGTCCCCTCCCCCGTCACCGTGTGGTTTGCAGGAGAAGGGGAGAGAGAGTGGTCCCCATCCTGGCATTTTGTCAGTGGACACGTGTTTCCAGGGAGGGCAGAGTGTGCAGGGTAGCATCCCTTCCTGTGGCAGCGGACAGCACTACCCTCCTGTGTGGGAAGTGGGAAGCCTCGTGTGTGCGTGTACGTGTGTGTGTGTGTGTGCACGCGTGTGCGTGCGTGTGCGTGTATGTGTGTGTGTGTGTGTGCTTGGTGAGCGCCCACGGAGCCCAGATGCCGCAGGGAAGCATGGCTGTTCCTTCTGCCCACTCCCCTCCTTCCCCACCGCCCGCCGCTGACCTGGAGGGGGAGTGCCCATAGGCGCTACCCTGCAGGGCGGTTCCTGGGCCCTAGCTGAAGCCTAGAGCTGGGTTTTACTCACCCTGACCTCTCTCCCCCACTTGGCTCACGGTCCCCCCTTAGGCAACAGTCCCCCACCTAGGCGAGCTGGCCCTGCGCCCCTCTCCCCGCCCAGGGGGTTTTCTCAGGACGTTTGCAATCTCCTCGCAAGACGTCTGCGTAATGGGAACCTCACAGGACAGCTCCCAGGTCACGGGGCACAAGCCAATGCCCTGGGGGGCTGGCCGTTACTCGGACAGAAACTATGCCAGGTTTCTCCTCCCGGCCTGGCCGGGTGGTGCTGCCCCCGCTTGCCCAGGTATTCAGACGAGTGGCTGCACGCACAGGGCCTCCCGCTGGAGGGCCTGGCCCGTAAAACCACCATGTGGACAGGATGCCCGGGAGGCTGGGGTTTGAACCTGCCCTGGCCTGGCCCCCTGTGGACCAGGGGTGATCTCCACCAGGTCAGGTCAGTGCTCACATGAGGCACCGCCACATGCTGGCATCCACACGCCTGTGAGCCGGGGAGGAAGCGCTTCGCAGCAGTTCGGGGGCAGAAGCCACCCCCGCCTTGGTGTTTTCTGGAGTGGGGAGTCCCTCCTCCCCACCCCATGGGCTGGCACCTGAACCGAGTGCCTGCCGTTTCCCTGGGCACAAATGGAGGCGTCCTGGCTCCTGATCCTCTCTCTCCAAGGGTGGCATCGGAGTTTCGAGGTTTCCACTTTCTGGCAATGGTGCTCAACACCCTGTATGGGGGAGAGCCCTCACTAGGAAGCAGTGGAGAAAGTACTGCTTCCCCTCAGCCGCCGGCCTAGTTGATGGTTAACCTGAAGTGGCATTTCCTGGTATTTTCTAATACTTAACACGTCGAATTTATGGAAGGAGTAAGCGACTTCATTGAGTAACTGTGCTGGGAAAAAAAATAGTATGAGGCAATCCCTTTTGCGTGGCTGAAGGGACATTTGTGGGTAAACCTCAGTGAATTCATCCATATTTATAATGTGGCTGTTAAAGAGACAGGCAGGCTAAGCTGCAAACAGCCCGCATGGAATGAACTTTTAAAATGTAACCAGATCCCGGTCAAGAGGCTGTTACCTTCCTTTATAAATTCATTAAGGGAGCTTGTCCTAAAAGCTACAGTGCAGCAAGGCTTGGTAATTTTCCAGAGGAGGTTATTCAAAAGGGACCTAGGAAAGCAGGAGAATCTGAGAAGACCACTCCGTTCACTGAGATTATTTGGGGAAGCTTGCCTGGCCAGTGAAAGGTTGATTATGGATGCGGAAGCAGCCCCTAAGTTGCTGACTTTGAGGAATACAGACTACATCAGGAGCTCAGAGCTGGCTTTTTTTTGACAAAGGTGGTAAATTCAGACAGCATTACGACCTAATAAACTTTATTTTTAAAAGTAACCTAATGGCACGTTTGGGAGGCTGTCACTTGGGGCCGTTAAGAAAGTGGTGGTGGCTCTCTTTCCAGGCCTGTGTGAAGACAGGGGGCATAATTATTTCGTTTGCCAAAGACCCTTTTAAGGTGTCGGTCTCATAGACGTCATTGCCAAGCTAACCTAGATACTTAGGGTTCATCGGACTGCCTGATTGATTTGAGGAGCATCTCCTTCCGTTTTAAGAGCAATGATTCTACACCGAAGCGGGGTACCACGCGGCGGGAAGGAGAGGAAGGAGGTACTTCTGCAAATTACGCCCCCCTGGAGGGTGCCCGGTGTGTAGGGAGATGTCAGTAGGGGACGCATTGCTGAGGAGGGAACAGAGTCAGGGTCCACTCTCCTGAATGGGAAAAGCAAGCTCAGATGCCTCCCGTGGCTGGGCAGGTGAGCTCCACTGACGAAGCTGCCATTTCCGGCTGCTGTTCGCTTTCCTCCTCTGCTGGCGTCACAGATTCAGAGAAGTGTTTCTGTTCGGCAGGAGAAGTAGCCGGGCCAGCACGATGATACGAGGGACGTGGCCCGCTGGCGGGGCAGTGTAGGCAGAGGGAGGCCAGGAGACTAATGGGACCTGAAAATTACCAGCTCTGGCCGGTCTTTTCCAGGTGTCCAACAAGGGCCCACTCTTCTAGGTTTCAAGAGGATCCCGAAATCCTGGATAGTCTAAGCACCTCTGGAGTTTTATGTGTTCATACAACTAACGACAAAACGCTGCAAGGCAACCAGCTTGTGTAACCCTCGGGGCCTGAGTGTCTGAGATAAAGCAGAGATGCACTGATTAGCTCATGCATCCATGGGGTCACGCTGGGTCTCGTACTGAGTCTCATCTGTCACCTTATTCCACTGTTGACAGTCCCATGTCAAAGCTTAACGCTACATGGAATCAGCTTCTCAACACCACGTTCATTGGCCACAGAACAAACAGCCGTGGGGAAATCCCTGCTCTCCATCCGCTGGGGTTCACCACCTGGTGTCCTGGCTGCGCTGGGCGTTTCGGCCCCTGACAGGAACCCAAGACTAAGGACTCAGAGATCACCCTTTCGGAGGAAGTACTTCCCGATAGGAAAAGGCTGAACAGCCTCAGTGCTCGTTAGGTCATAAGGTCAAGCGTGCCAGGGCCTGTGCAGGCGGAGATCGCAGTGCACGAGCCCCTTCTTCCTTCTCTGGGGTCAGGTGTTTGGCTGGAGAAGACGCTGCACATTTGATTGAACTTACGTCGCATTTCGACTCCGGGAATCTGGGTTAGGCTCTTGTCCTTGAGACGTCACGTGTGAGCTGTGGCCCGAGAACCCCTGCCGGTCGTGTCCTCTTTCTCCTGAAGCTGAGAGTCCAATCCTTCCCAACATTGCGGGGGGGTGTTAGCCTTCCAGAAGCTGCTGGGTTTGTACTCAAGCACCTTTTTTATTTTATTTATTTATTTTTAACAAGAAGAGTATGGCTGTGCCAATACGCCACACAGTAAAGCAGGAGTTTGGCACCGGTTTCTGTTGATTTGGTTGGGAGGGACAGCCAAGCTAGACAGTTCATGCCAGAAATATGAGTTGGTTTGGCTGGCTTCCTCCGATTGAATTCACTAGGTGATAATTAAATTCCATTTCAGGTTGTGCTCTGTAGACGAAATTATCGCCTTCCTCTTTACTCCCGAGTCTGTGCTGAAAGCTAGTGCTCTCTTCCTTTCTCGTTCTAAGTGTCCGTTCTTCTTCAGTCACTAACCTAAAAGGAAATCTTTCATGTCACCGGTTTTCTGAAAGACAGGATCATCCCTTTTGACAAGCAATCACTGTGGGCAAATTATAAGTAAAAGGTTGCTAGGGGGCTGTCAACAGCACCAGTGATGTCTGGGGCCTGTGGGAAGCACACAGGAGGTAGGGTTGTGACATGCGTGAAGTTGACCTGTGAACATTCACTTATTCATTAACAGCTACTTTTTGAGCTCTGACTACATCAGACACTGAGTTAGGCACCGAGGGTACACGAGTATAAAGGGCTAGTAAGATCCAGCATGATGTATGCTGGGTGGGGAGGGAGAATTTCCCTGCTTCGCTTAAATCACCTACTTATATAAATTCCAATTTCAACTACAAGGGAGGGAGGAAGGCGGGGCCTCTGTACTCCCATCAGGAAAGAGACAATTTGATTGATTTTAAGAAATTGATCTCAAATCTGATTTTTCTAGTCGTGGCAATCTCCATCACTTACTGAAAATGTTCTTTAAACCAACATACTTTTCTAAAATGCTTCAAATCATTGTGGAAGAGGGACACCTTATTGATTTTTTTTTTTTTACAGAGAGGAAGGGAGAAGGATAGAGAGTTAAAACATTGATGAGAGAGAAACAGCAATCATCTGCCTCCTGCACACCCTTTACTGGGGATGTGCCCGCAACCAACATACATTCCCTTGATCGGAATTGAACCCGGGACCCTTGAGTCCGCAGGCC